AAGTTTGCAGATAGTGACGTTTTAACAGCCTTACCTTCCATTTCAATCATGACAATCTTGGAAGTAAGCGGAATGACTAGCCTATCATAATATTTTGACGAATCTCCTCTACTTCCACTACAATGTTTTTCCTTTGTCCTATTTTCTTTTCCAATTTCATGTCGTCATCATCAGAATCAAACTCGTCTTCCTCTGCCAGCCACCACCTTTGTCTTTCCATCCGATCCGTACCCTTAATAAGAAAGTTTAATAACCTCTGTGAGTCTCACGGTTCTCATTTTATTCCCTCTGATTTTTCATAGACTTTCGAAAGGGCTTACGGTGGATACCTAGGTACTCAGAGACGAAGAAGGGCGTAGTAAGCGACGAAATGCTTCGGGGAGTCGAAAAATCTTCTCTCGCTCTTCGCTGCTTGGGCTCTACGAAAGCTCTCTCCCCATCCACTTCACTCACCCCTACAGTAAAACTAAAAACTTTTACTCCGCCCAATAACTCATTGCCTCCTCGTTGTCTTTCATGCCTCTTTGTTCTCACGTCCAATGCCCATACCTCATGTCTCCTCATTGTCTTCCATGCCTCTCGTTTTCCTCTAGCGAAGCTTGAATCCCTTGTCCGTCTTTCCTTTACGTTTGGGGTTTTGCCAAGAACGGCGAGAAAGATCCTTACTGAAAGCATAATTGCATGTTATCCATACTCATTTAGCCACCCGATTGCGTCGACAGACCAAGAAAGATTGTAAACTCGGTTATGTAAAGAGGAGGGGTTGTTAATCACTCTCAAATAGGAGCCTGATGAGAGTGAGGGTTACGCTAGGGAATGATCAATTGCTTCTTTGAAAAAATCATGAACTATTCCGGAACTACTCTTAGAGGCTAATCCAAAACTGTGTAGCCCGGCGAAGAGTTCTTCGTATAGGAACGCAGAGACAAAAGACGGGCATAGTATTGAGGAGCAAGGTCCTGCATTTGGACAGAACCAAAGACTGGGCTAAACATACATTCACTGTTAGAATGGGCTAGAGAGTTGGTATCGAGCCTTCCAATCGTCTCCTGCAGGATTGCAGGCAATCAAACCCTTGCACCAAGCAACGAGAAAAAAACTTTATACTCCTAACCTACATCCACTTTACCGCAATCCATTGCGCAAGAGTACGTTGGCAGGTTTTTAAGAATAACATGGATTCTGCTTATCCCCGACTGTGGCGGTGATATACCTTTTTAACATGCGGCCTAAGTCCGAGTCATCGGGGCCCCCCTTTCTGACAATGGTCGGCGAGACCCTCCTTAGGCTGGCCTAAGGTTTGCTATGAATTAAAATCCACGGGTGCCCGGTACCATACGGTCCATACCCAACCTTCGCCCCTCTCTACCAATACGTTTTCTTTTCTTATATAGTCCTCGTGGGTAGGCCCCCCTTTCACACAAAAAACGGATTGCCCCCTCTACTGAACTAAAGGAAGTTGCTTTCCCTAAAAGCTTGAATAAAAAGGGGACGGGCGGTATGAACAACTAAGAAAATCAACGGAGAGCAAATAACCTGGTGACACTTCAATGATTTTTCACGAATAACGGAAAACTTGAAGGAAGAAAGAGGAGGCGATACTGCTCAGGCTTTCCGTACTACTTGCCAAAGTGACCTTTCCTTAAATATTGTCAAACCTCTCCTACCTGCTACTCGAAAGAGGTTAGTCTCACGTACCAGGACCAAGAATGTCAGGAAAAAGATAACGAAAAGGAAACTCACTTCAACAATAGGATCAATCGGCAAAACAGATGTATCGTGACTGAGGCTTTGGTTACATACACCAAAGAAAACACATTGCGTGTGTGTGTGGGGAGAAGATACCTCCAATACGCTAGCGGGTCTCGACACTTGCCTTCTTCAAAAAGTAAAGCCGGAGTCGCCCTCTGCACCAATACCGTCCTTTCCTAACCAAAGTAGGGGGCCGGGTTACACTACCTACCTACCACTACTCCTAATTATAGTCTTACGGGGAACCCCGTAGCAGCCAGAACTGTGTTCACGAGTGAACATGCGGGGGCTACTCCCGACCTGCAGGCGGGCGATACCGGCCAGGGGAGAGCCGGTAGCATCAGGGACCATGCCAACAGGACCAATCGCTCTGCCTCCCCTCAGGTCCCCTCTCCAACGAACATCAGCAGACTCTGCTCAATGCCGACGGGGGGATCCAGTGGTCTATCTCTAGGTGGCGGGCGTGAAGCTTGCCCCAAGAAGGTACGTGAGGCCAATGGTGATTGAACCCACGATCTCCTGAATGCAACTCTCGGCCAGGGGAGAGTCGGTAGCATCAAGGACCATGCCAATAGGACCAATCCCTCTGCCTCCCCTCCCCTCTCCTACGAACATCAGCAGACTTTGCTCAACGCCGACGGGGGGATCCAGTGGTCTATCTCTAGTTGGCGGGCGTGAAGCTTGCCCCAAGAAGGTACGTGAGGCCAGTGGGGATTGAACTGACGACCCCCTGAATGCAACTCTCGCCCAGGGGAGAGCCGGTAGCATCAGGGACCATGCCGACAGACCCAATCCCTCTGCCTCCCCTCAGGTCCCCTCTCCTACAAACATCAGCAGACTCTGCTCAACGCCGATGGAGGGATCCAGTGGTCTATCTCTAGGTGGCGGGCGTGAAGCTTGGCCCAAGAAGGCACGTGCGGCCAATGGGGATTGAACCCACGACCTCCTGAATGCAACTCTAGCTCAGTTGGGAAAAAAAAACGAGTTTTCGACATTGGTGTGGCGAGGCTGTTGGTCGTGGCCTTTGGAACAGAATGGTCCCCCCCCCCCAACAAAAAAAAAAAAAAAAAAAGGGAAAGAAAAGGACCAAAATGGGCATCGGCATGTCCAGGGGCCGGGTCCCACTAGCAGCGTTGAGCTACCTCAACGCCTGAATCTGGACGCTTTTGCGAAGATGTGCAGAAATGGTGTTGAGTTTCCTGAACTGCACGTCTCCACAGACAAGTCCATATTCAGGCGTTGAGGTAGCTCAACGCTGCGAGTGGGACTTGGCCCCAGACAGGGCTGTTTTGTTTTTGTTTTTGTTTTTGTTTTTTTTGTTTTGTTTTTGGGAAAATTTGTCTGGCGCCCCTGTATTTTCCATTTATTTGCGTCGCGCCCCTCCGACATGCGAAATACCCTGCCGCGCCCCTCTGACCAGTAGTGAAATGTTTCATAAACCCCTGGCGTCGTTTGGGCCTCACATGTTTTTGTAGTGCCCCTACCGGTACCCACATCAAATTTGTGTCATGCCCCTACCGGATAGCCATTGGGAAAATTTCCGATATGCCCCTACCGGTACTGTCGATCTTTTCACTGTGCCCCTGTCGCCGTTGGAGGCACTCAGGATCAACCTGACCGACAATAACCATGGACTGCTGCACCCCACATCCGCCCTCGCATAGGCCGTCTGCCTGTCTGCTCTCTCTCTCTCTCTCTCTCTCTCTCTCTCTCTCTCTCTCTCTCTCTCTCTCTCACACACACACACACACACACACACACAACACACACA